CGGTGCTCCGCGCATATTTGTGAGTCGTTCTACGTCTCGCAAAAGCCTGACTGTTGTGTCTTCAATGCCCACGTAGGCGAACCGTTTAACGTCGTCGCTATACGCATATTCACATGTAGGTACAATGCTCACAGGAGGCAATACAATAAGTTTTGAATCTCCATTGAGGCTGTACATTTTCCCAGAAACTCATGTGTAACATCGAGACGCATAGGCATATTTGATCACAAGTTGGGCAGTATAGAAACGTGATAAATTTGTGATTTTTCACTAGTTATCCTGCCGTAAGGCTCCCACATGTTACAGTTTCCCATAGCACTTGTGTTTCCCAACTTCATGGGGTTTCCGTTGAATGTGATACAATTATGTGACGTTACTTGTCAGAAACATCTAACCGTATTCCTTATCAAGCCATTCTCAGGTGTGCATAATACTAATATCAGTGACACGTGTTAGATTTCATCCGGATGTTTGGAAAAAACCATTTATTCGATTTTGCTTCGGTTGATTTGTTTCCAGGTGAGAATAGATTGTGCAGTCGAATCAGACAGACGGCTCCCAGTCACATCAACCAAACTGACTGCTGCTCTTGGAGCTGTTAGTGCCTCTACTCAGTCGACAATGTCCGCGTGTTCGATTCGAAGTTTACAGTCAGCAGACGGGGACATTGGTTGTTCCGGTTTTGATTCGGAAAATGGGGTTGTTAACCTAGAAAACAAGACGGTGAATTTTGTCGATAGAATTCTGTATCGTTTGGCGTTTCTATCTTGCATTGCGCGGGAAGTCCTCCTGCGCGCACTTTGACATAATTTGCCGCATGTTAAGAATTGTTCGCATGCTCATGCAATGAACAATTTTAAACGGTAGACGATCGCATAGCAGCTTGTGGCTCCCGCAAGTGAACTGTGGCAAGAGTTTGCACACGTGGTCTGATGACTTCGTTGTGTTCAGGCCGGATTCATAGTGTTGCTGCTCCCAGCCAAATACGTGCGGAAGATCACTTGGGTCGGGTGGTACCGCGATGACGAGATGCGCAGGCGAACATCGGGTGGTATTGGTTAGGCCAATTCGTTGAGCTGAACAATAGCACTGTTGAATAAACTATTTTAGTCTAACGATGCAACGAACCAAAAATAGCACTACTGAACGAGTCTTCACTCGAGTGTTTACTGAATCTTAATCGCTTACGTTGGCTAGGCCATGTTCTCCGTATACCCGTTGATTGGCTTCCTCGGCGTGCATTCTGCTCCGTGGCTGCACCAAGTTGGCGAATCCATGACTTGGCGTAGAGGCATGAAGAAATCGACTGAGAGACTTGGTCAGGCTGGTGAATGCAATCTTCGTGGATAAGAGCCTCGAGATGGTCTACACCAATGGTTGGAGACACTGTTAGACATGGCGTAGTCAAGCAGTCAGTGGCGTTCCTGCATTCGGTTTTTTGCACCTTAGTGTTAATTTTCGCTCCATTCTGGTTAGTCTAACGCACTTCCTTCTTTCTTCCATTTTCATCACATTCTATTTGCACTCAACCCCACTATGTTGCCGTTGTTACTTATTGCTATGGGATATGAGTCGTGGCAACTCGATCCACCCAACTTCGATGCTCGGATCATGCTTGTTCATCTGAGCTACTAAACTTGTAATGTTAGTTTGAGTAAGTGTTGTGTACACCCCCAGTATTTACTAGAGAGGACTCTGCTTGGTTTCCCCAATGTAGGATAATATATAGTTCGAGGTGAGCAATAGTGGATAAGGCAGCGAGAAGTTAAGTTGCGAGCCACTAGCTTCGGCGCCGCTTGTCAGTCTCAGCTTCCAGTTTGGAGCCCACGCAACCCGCTTTTACTCGAGTCGAGACTACAGGACATGGCTTGCAATCGACACCAGTGGCGTGTTTGCTATCGTCTTCCAGTCGGACTGTCTGTTGAGCATCTGATGCTGGGTTATCTGTTGGATGAAGGTGATCATGACGTAGGATATCGAAATCCTTAGTGATGCTGCCTCACTGGTGCCGCCATATATTTACACCATAGTCGGTCGCTTGTGACCACGCCTTGTTGACACGGTGTAGACCTTTGAGTTATGCTTACGGACCTTTAGTTCCCTCATCTTCCTTCTAGCTATTCATTAGTAGGACTCTTGTGTCGATACAAGGTCCTGATATTTTCTGTTGATTTCGGCAAACGTTTCTACGCGTAGAGGTGGCACAGACGGCACAGAATCATACCCGGTAAAGTTAGTGGTCGTCAGTCTGTTGCCTCGCTTCCGGATGGATTAGCGCAAAGTACTGCACATTTCAGCATGTACCTCGCACGTTTTACTGTATGACTGGGCTCAAGACCCATCCCTTACCAAGGGATTGTTAGGTTTTGGGAAAACCGCCGTGTGTCTTGGAGTGCAACATACTACACCGAAACCTTCCACTTAGAATCGATAGATTTATTTACCAAGGTAACTGCACCATATGGCGGATAACTCCGCGGAGAGAATAGTGCGCCCACCGTTAACGCTGGGGCGGCTTTCCAAAGTTTAAGCCATTTGTGGAAACGACGCAGTGCTAGTCTACCGAACAAGGTTACTGTAGTTGGAACGTTTGCATGTTGAAGGCATTCAAAGGCAGCTGACATTTGTCCGCAGATGCATGTGTAGCATCATTCGCCTACACACAGCGTCGCTACACCGCTGTTACTGGTTAGATCATGCTTTGTGACAATTTCTCGATGGCTTGCCTCGGCGTTTATCCTTTCTCAATACGTCGCTTGATTTGTAAAGGCCTCAAGATGGTCAACCGTAAGTGTATGTAGAAAAGTACCGAAAGGCTTAGTTGACCCAGCGCCAAAAAAAACAGCCACACCAGTGGTAAAGTATGCTACTGTTGCGTTCGAGCTACAGCCTTTACGAGTCAAATCCTTCGATTGGGAAAAATTATTTGGTTTTCACCTGTTTTCCTGCATGTATACGTTTCTTCTGTTATCATTTTCTTCAATTTCGTTGCAAATATGACGACTGTGATAGTTGGCGGCCGTTTGGCTAAGCGGGGGCCAAGCAAGTGCCCCCCCCATGCTGGCTGACCATGTTCGCACGGGCCGGAGGAACAAGGTAGAATTGCGTAAGCGACCAAAACGCAGCCTGGTTGTAAACACAGGGGAGTGGATTGGTCCGAACTACAGCAAAGAAGCAGTACGCGCGCGCAAACGAAGCCAAACCGACGACATGGAATGTAGTTATGGCTAGTCAGTTAAGCGGACGCAGCTAGCGCAAATCAAGTGTACATACATACTACATGCTATACACGTTAGCTAGAGGTGGGAAACACCTCAGCTACTGTACCGCAATACCTAAAAGAAAAGACGGGAATAATATGCTACAGGTGCAAGCCAGCTGAGCTACCGGTAACGGATGGGCATCGTTCCGGTAAGCTATCTGCCGGCTACTATGCAGCAAAAAAGTAATTTCCTATGCAAAATTATAAAATGTTAAATAACGAGATCCTGGTTGGAGGGGGAGGCTAAGAGGGATGGGGTGGGACAAAGAAACTCACAGCACGAACGCCACTGAGATCGGCTCCTAGCCATATCAACAAGTGTATCCAGCCAAACGTGTTCATCATCTTTCGGACCAGGGAGCCGAGACGCTCCAACCGAGGCCAGTTTCGAAGTGAGGGCCTTCATTCCTTTTGACCAAGTCATCGCTTGGCCACGTCTCCTCTTCTTCCATCCACACCCCCGGCGCACAAACAACGCACGTCGCGGGAGTCGGTGGGCTGGTATGCGTAACACGTGGCCGAGCCATCGGAACCTGGTGCGTGAAATAACGGTGCTGAGCGGTTCATTTTCTTTTCCCGTGCCGTAAACAAGGCGTCGAACACGCTCGTTGCTCACGCGGTATTCCCACCAGATGTGAGCTAAATTGCGAAGGCGCAAATCAACGCGGAAGCCACTTGAAGTAGCAAATCTAGTGGCTTCTGCGTTGTTTGGTCAAGATAACTAGGGTCAGGCGAACAGCGGAGAATTGGCGCGGTCTGGCATGGGCCGAACTCAAAGTGGCCTTAGACAAGGCAGAGGTAGATTGGAATGAGCACAGCGGATGAACAGCACTTGCGAACCAATGAACATATGCAGACGGCAGTAAACACGTCAAGTATAAATGGACATTGAAAAATCACCACAGTTGAGTATCGCTGCGTAGTGTAAAAGATACTGTTTTTCATCACCGCGCAAAAGTTGCTTTGAATCTCGGAGGGCTTACATGAAAGCGACTTGGTTCCTATCAGTCGGATCCACCGCGAATGGGCGCATAGACCACTTTGTCTTCATTTTCCTTGAAACTTAAACTCAGTTACAGCAAAAATGAACGTATATTACTCGATTAGTCTACGCATCATACACCACTTCGAAAAACACTTGAACACTGAATTTAACTCCTTCATGGATCATAAATCATTGTTCATAACGTTGGGTCCTATAAATGGTTTGAGCTCAGGCTCAACAGGTTCCGGATGCAGGAGTGACGTTCATCGGTTTCAATTGACTGACGACTGTTCATCAAACAAGAGTTTAGACACACTTGGAACATACACTGCATTTGGCATGCAACTCAACACTTGATGTCGAATTAGTGAATTTGATGTTTCTGTAGTATGGGCAATAGGTTGAATATGCGACAAGAACAAGTCAACGATACGGACGTCTTCAGTTAAACTAATATTATACTGACAGAAGATTTATAAATAATAAAACAATCTCGCTAAAATCTCCAACGGTTCTACAGTGTAACCAACACAACGAGTGACTTCCAATTCTACTCCATGCAGGCCTTTGAAATAGAGTAGACATGCCAAACTCGTTCATTGCTTTTGTGCATGTGGGAAAGTGCTTTTAGTTTCTGATGATACCGAGACAGCTGCACCTTGCAGAAACTCAGGAACAAGTGTTACCCATAGATGAGTAACCAGATTGAACTATTTTTTAAACTCCAATAATACTTAGCGTTCTATTGCACAGGTCCCTGAGTTGATGACAGAAAACCAAATTTTGGCGGCCGAAATAGACGAGCTTTTGAATCGACTTCAGGTACCCAAAGTAAGTACAATTTTCCAAATTTGTTAGAACTTGTTCCACAGTTCTACTAGGATGGAACAATGGTATAATACGGATAAAAAATGAACAATGATATATTACAGGTAAAAAGCGATTGCTTTACAAGTCCCGCAGGGTGGTTGAAGTGAAAGTAAACATAAGTGTAAATCGTCAATTTAAGAGTCTAGTGAATTCATAGAAACATTGTAGAATGTGTACTGAATTGTTACTGTATCGTAATATGGGAAGTAATATGGGTAAGGCATATCTTAAGAACAAGAGAAATGACCAACGCTTACTCGTGCGCCGCTTTCTTGGACTGGGGTAAGCTGATGAATGCAGTTGTAATATATCCGAAACTATATTCCACAACAGCAGTGTGTAAATAGTGAAGCACAAAAGCTGAGAATGAGCACCGTTTTTTCGCGTTTGTTTGTGGACATCTCTGATTATATAGCATAATGTAGGTGGATAAGCAAATCATCCAGACGTCTTTTGAATACCGTTAGCGTGGGGAAGAAACAACGTATGTGGGAAGAGCGTTCCAGTGTTTGCATACACGAAGGGAAAAGAAATTCCGGCGGTATTCCAACCGGCTGTATTGTGTGGCCAGCTTTAGCTGGTGTCCTCTGAGTGTTGTATTGCTATTCAGCTTTAGTAGGTGACGACAACAATGGTTTGGATTCCTCAGGATCATATAAGTCATTATCAAGTCGCCACGGAGGCGTCGATATTGTCCACTGTAGACCCCGAGGGTTTTCAGCCTCAATCGGTAAGGGAGATGAAACAGGCCCTTTACGTTCTTGGTCGCCCTTCGTTGTGGCAGTTCAAGAGCGGTAAGGTCTTGCTTTTGCCATGGCTGCCACGCGTGGATGGCGTACTCAGAATGAGGCCGAATGTAGGCGTTAAGCATCTGAGAAAAGATGAAAGGATCAAAGCGCCCGAATGCCCTCCGCAAAAGGCCAAGGTTTTGTTAGCTTTTTTGGAGGCTTTCTCGGCCTGACGGGAACAGCCCAGATCTTCCTGCACTACCACACCCAAATCGCATTCCGTTGCTGTGCGCTGCAATATTCGATCCCCCAGTCTGCATTTTCAAGTGGCTTTATGGCGTATGCTCAACACCTTGCACTTTGTAGCGTTGAACTGAAGCAGGTTCTGAGTCGACCATTCGTAGACCCTGTCCAGATCATCCTGAAGTGCTGCATTGTCACTGGTTGTTCTAATGGCTCGCCATATCTTGAGATCATCAGAGAAGAGTAAGGAGCAAGGCTTTATAAGTCCCGTGGTATGATTTGTGGGAATAACGTTGCACAACTGAGAAAAAATACACACCAGTGGACTCACCATATTATCCACATTAACACAAGCTATATTCGTCTACCCCGATTTCGTGGTGTTGGTGAGCACAGTGTTTGCCTGCGCCTTGTCGTTACTCAATGAATAGAAATCAGATCAAGTAATGTAGGTGGTGTAAAGCATCGTCGTTTTTTGAAAATGGGTAGCGTGGGCGCGAAAATGACAAAAGTCGAAAAAGCGTTCCATGGTTGACAAACTCGTAAGGAGGAATCATTCCGGCGGCATTTCAGCTGACTGTATTGGGTGGCCAGTTTCAAATTATGACTCCTCAATTCAATGTTGCGACTAAGCTTCAAAAGGTGTCGGCGGACGTGACCGAGGTTTTTCAAGATCTGGAACGTCAGAATGGCGGCGATATCTGCCACTTCCAGGGTTCCCAATCGCCTATGATATTGCAAGTGGGACAACCCCTTTACATTTCTCGTTGCCCTTCGCTGGGCGGTCTCCAGCGCAGTCAGATCTCGTTTTAACCAGGGTTGCCAAGCCTCACATATGCATTGAGCCTTTGGGGGGATCGAACCGCCCGAAAGCCCTCCGTAACAGACCAACATGTTGGTTTACAGTTTTGGACACCTTCAAGGACTGTGCCGAACATCCGAGATCATCTTGCATCACCACCCCAAGCTGTCGCGAAGCGGTTTTCAGCATGTCATCTCCAAGCTTATATGCGTACGTGGGCTTGCGGTTGACATGCACGATTTTGCACTTGTCCGTGTTAAACGGAAGTAGATTTGCGTTTGACCATTCAAAGGCGTGGTCTATTGTCGTTGCAGCATATCGTGATCTTCCTGACAGCCGGTTGCCCGCCATATCATATCATCGGTAAAAAGCAGGAAATTTGACTTGATGACACTCGCAAGGTCGTTTCTGAAGAACAAACATAACCGCGGCCCCAATACTGACCTTGTGGAACACCGCAGTCAACGTTAATTGGATCAGAAAATGAGCCTCGAACTAGAACTTGAAGGCGCCGCTGAAGGAGGGAGTTTCCGATCCATCAAAGGACAGGGTTCCCAACGCCCTACGCTTACAGCTTTTGAAGAAGGATGAGATGATCTATGCGGTCGAAGACTTTAGAAAAGTCTAGGTAGATGACATCAATGCTGGTCCCACTGTCGGCTGTCTCGGTCCAACTGCCATAAGCAACAAGTAGATTGGTAATACATGACCGATGCTGACGGAATCCGTGTTGTTCCGGTGGTATGGTCTTAGACCTTTCGAAGTAGCCCATTACGGACTCAGCTACGATCGATTCCATCACCTTTGAAAGCACTGGGAGGAGAATCACTGGGCGATAGTCGGCTAGCTCTGAACGGCTGCCACTCTTGAAATTATGCCTTGCTTCCGTATGTTATGACTTGCTGTTTGTCCAGGCATCTTTGGAAAAGTCTCGCTAGTGGTTCAACTATCTTCATAGCTGCCACCTGCAGTGCTTTCGGGGGAATATTGTCAACTCCGGAAGAACTATAGGTGCGCAACGATAGCAGCTTACTCAAAATGGTCGCCGAACTAAAGGTGACGTATGTAAATAATGGTGTCTGGGAGATTGTTACGCATGCTGGTAGCACTTCGGAAAACTGGAGCCTTAGAGCGTTACCTGCATCCACGGCGGTTTGAGCACATTCAGCTGCTGATTTTGGTGGGGGAACACCACGTTTCACATTCCGGAGGCTGTTCACATATCTGTACAGAAGCTTTCTGATAGCACAAACGTTTTCCGCTGGACTGCTGGTGTACTCATTTTTTCCTCACGCACAAGTGTGGTACAATGATTACGATGCACAATGTAGTTACTCCAGTTGTCAGGGCTAGGTTTCGCTCTATGCACATGCCACGGAGCGTCTCTTGCTCTCATGTGTTTTCGGGTTCTGCTCCGAATGAATGATTGTGATCTTGCGGAACGAAGGGGTTTGTTGACCGATGCAGATTTAATCAGATCACTGAACTTGCCAGTAAACTCCATCCAAACACTGTCAATGGAACAGTCATCTGAAAACTCCCACAAGTTCTGCCACTATGTCGTAGTGGGTGATTGTTCGAAACAAGTTACAATGTTCTTGTGGATACTCCGCATAACACACATGACTGAAGAGCGGAATGTTTGCAATATACTCGTGCAGACCTGCCTTAAATTGCTCGTTTGGGTGCCGAATGTTCCAAATCGTGAATTCGACGGAGATGGGAACATGGCTGTATCGTCCCCGTATGACCCTTCCCGAGCATAATGTTAGACGGGAGTCCATCTCTGGGGTGGACATTGAGGGACGATAAACAACGGCCAGAAGGTAAGTGTCCTTACGTCTCAGTCGCAGACTGCACCAGAGTGAGTCTATGATCAGCGTTTTCGTATCGACCACTGGTTCGCACTGCAGGTCGCTGCGGTAGTATGACAGTACCCCCTGCATTTGCTAGGGCGATCGGTTCGGCGAAGGGACACACCATGTATCGCGACCTTGGCGTCAGTGATTTCTGAGTATAACCAAGTTTCTGTGACGAATATGAGGTCCCAGGAATGTGACGCTTGACGTAGTCGCAGTTCGGGAGACCTTGTGCATTGGTGTACATGCAGAAAAGTTTCTCTATTTTTAGCAATTAATCGTGGGATGGGTGTTTTAGATAAAATGTTGTGCCGACCGGTAAAATGTCGGCAACTAAACGTTTTTGGGTTGGGGGGATGACGAACTCATCTGTGTTCGATTCATGTATCCATGTGTTTGCCAGTTTCGCTGGCCAGTTGATTGAGGTTATCCGAACTCTTGGTGCGACGAAGTCGCTGCTCTTGTGTGTTTGCTTAGCAGATGCTGCTTTGATTCGGAGCTGGAAAGGAAGGCTGCTGCGGGCTGCATCCCAGCAGCATTGCTGATATTTGTCTAGATTGAAGGACCACTTTCACAATTCTCGGGTCATATCCTTTGTAGTTTGGCGATTGGCGCAGCCTCGAGATTGATTGCGGTATGACGTTTTCCAGAGATAGTGTCTCGCGAATGTAACGCCATTGTTCCTGGTCGTGAGTGGCCGCTTCTCGCACATCATGACTTCCAGCCTCGGGAACACCGTGTACCAGGATGGTCCTGGCTACGCATTCCTTCCGATTTTCGTCCAAGTAGTGCCTCGCCTGTTTGCGCTCGCTCCACGGAATACCCGGGAATAGTCCGATGGAATATGACCCATTCCGGAGGCGAGCTGTCGATAACAAAACAACTTCTGCTTCATTGGCGGAAGTCAACACAACTCGGAGAAATCTTGGTGCACCGTAATGCGGTGAGTTTGGGTGACGAGTAAGGCATGTCAAATTGACAGGTTTAGCTACAACACCTATTATCTCACATACGTAGTTCCACTGGCTTACGTCATCAAGTCACTTTCCTTTTAAGGAATTTGACTTTGATTCTGGAACGTTGGCGCATATTATCGCCGGTATGCAACGTGCAACTCGGATTGAAGTTAAACAACCAGCTGGTCTGTATACAGCCGATGGAGGCTGTGTGAGTACTGCTTCGTCTTCTTCATTTATACTGGATCCAGTGGGAGTGGCCGAAGGTCTAGGATTTCGGTCACTTTTGGCAGCAACCAAGTTCCAACCACCACGTGCCGAAGTCCTACTGCATTTTGGAACCGTTTGGAGGGTGGACGAGGCCCTGACCTACTCATTGCAATCAGACTGGCGGTGGTTGTTTCAGGCATATTTGAGCAACTGGTAGTATTGGCGTTTAATGCCACAGATGGTGCATTTTTAGCGCGCTGCCTAGCCTTCTTCCTCAGTTTTAATGCGGTGCTGGATGGGAATGACCGTGATTTACTCTCTGTCACGCTTTCTTCAAATGAATCGCTTTTGGTGCTCCTCATTTGTTCAATCATTACTACCAGTCTTTCGTACTTCTGCGATAGTCCATGTACAATCTTTACCAGTGGGATGATTATACACACTGAACAGAACCACAGTGTAGCTTCATCTGGTTCGCTGTGAGCTAGGAACATTTGCGATGGAATTTGCCTTGGCAACTGCTACACTGGATTCCAATCCGTACATTTTTATGGCATGAAGTAAGGCCACAAACTAATGTCGATCTGGATGCGGTCACATGGGCTTTTGATTGATCGCCACAATTCTATGCGTCAATCGATGTTATTCCGATCAAGGCCCGAGCGCTTATGGTTTCCCGCGGGTCGCGTGTGCGCTGAATTGTCTGCATGTTCAGGGTCGTCGCGTTCTGTGAGTTTGGCCGGGGCAGGTATAAGCGGCTAGATCATTCACACGGCAAACAGAGCGATACGGACACAAAGTGTACGAAAGCTACTTTGATGAACTGTCCACAGCTGTGGTTGCTGACTCGTCGGATAAAATGTGCAGTTGACTTCCGTTTGAGACCGCAAATATTGCTGTGTGGTTCGTGATTCGAAAAATTCCTCGATTGTGTTTTTGCAGGAATGGTGCGAAAACCACACAAGCTGGATCCGGAAGATGGAGTGCACTAGATAGCGCTGATGAAGCTGGGTCGAGTGTATGTGAACACACGTTTGTGTGACAAAATGCAGCTATAAATAAATAAAGCTAAATAAAGCTTTTATTCTCGACAAGGCAAGGCACGGCTTTACAGGCATGATCATTTTGACATAGCAATGCGTGATGAAGAATGTGCGAAAATCCGATATTTTTGCCATAACATTGTATGCTTGTGTAGGGGGGTATGTAATTGTGTGTGTAGCTTGTGCTTGTGTGCCCCATGCTGAGGCTGATGTTGCATTCTTGATGCTTTTTCACCGCAGTTGGGTTAAACCAACTTACACTTAAACTAGGTCTTTCTAAGCTAGGTAAATTTATTCCACTATTTGGTTTGTTCTGCCTACGTGAATAATCTTCTATTAACTAGCCACGTTGCTCACGTTAATTGCGCTTATCTTCGGTAACTTTGTTGCGTTTGTAGCATTTTTACGTAACTTGTGGGCATTCTGTACTTATCGCGGATTCGTTGCTAACCAACTTACTTCATATGCTAATTTAGCGAAGAGTTATGTCACCGTATCTGTATGCATTATTCCATTTATTTTATTTCATCTTGTCATTTCAAGTGATTGGCTTTTGCTTGATATCCCCGTTGTGGCTGCGCTTACTGTGCATGTTGACAAGGTGCCTACCTGTCTATTACCCAGTACCTCGTCCATACTGGCTCCAGGAAACAGTTGGTCGTTGCGGGAGGAGACGGGGTGCACGGTCCTTGTGGCCGTGCTAGGCTCAAAGAGCGGTTCCATGCACTCAGTGTGGAGCAGACTACGGTCCAGCCACCGCCTTGTGTGCGCTTAATTCCCAAATACAGCGTGCTTGTGTTTACCTGTAAAGAAGTGTGGGCCGGCTCTGTTGATGAACCGTGGCTCCCATCCACATGCCTCCCGATCTTATTCCTTCGGGTTTACACTGGATATGGGATGTGTGGTTGGAGCTGTGGGTGGTGCAGCTCAAGCCACCCATGGTCCATTTGTAGGCGCAGGCCTTCTGTGGCTGGCCACAGTGACGAGCAAATCCGAAACCGGATGCCGCCAACCAGTTCGTGCTTGTAATTGTGCTGCTCCATTCTTGAATGTTTGATATCGTCAGCAATGTGCGAGTAGAAGATTGGTGTCCGTGGGTTGGAAAGGATTATCCGGATATCCACGGGGCAGTGACTTTATTTTGTGGCGAGTCACGACCGCCACGTCACAGTGTTGTTAAGCAGACATTTGTGGCTTTTCTTAGGGAGAAGGCTCGTCAGGCGAAAACCCACCACCTCCTGAAAAACTGTCGCCGAACTGTTTGCTGGAACGGGTTAAACCCGAACCACCCAGGTGGCACCACGAGGTTGTTCAGCTAGCCAGCTGAGAGTGACAAAACAACGTGTTCACAGATGAGCGATTAGCCCGCAGGTTCCTTCAAGGTCACCACCTTCAGCGTGATACATCTAGGTTGAAAAGATTAGAGCATCCTGTGTGTGAACCCTCGGAATAAAAAAGTTGACGTCGGTGACGCACAGGTCGGGGAAAGCGGCGGGGTGCGTCGAGAACTCGAACTGTGTAGCTGGATACGATCTCTTTGAAAAACCGGCTGGAATACTGCCCGAGTTCCGGTTTACCTACGTTGCGGAAACAGATCACACCCACGGCACGGCACACGAGAGAGCATTTCGTTTCGCCTCGTACTTCATGTAATCTGGTTGCATCGCATTTCATATTTCTACGCTCGCGTTTGTTTTGAAATATGACAACTCACTCTGTACACTACATACATCCACATACATTGTCTTTTTCGATCACATAGGGTCACTCGCTTTCTATACTTGGCTCAGGAAATAACACGGGTCAGTTGGATGGACGATAAAAACAACTTGCATCATCTGGAACCGCTTGATTGCGATATGCGTTATCACCTTTCAGTCGTTGTTGATCCATCCGCCTTCATATTGTTTGAGTTTCTTTTTCATCGAATCGACTTGTTTGTAAAGCAAGAAAATTTTTCTGATCTTTGTACAGAATGATCCGGTGCTTGTGTTTAAGCACTTCAACTTCAGAACCTGTGGGCGCTTATTTTTAAGTGATGACTTTTGGCCTTGAATCAAAATTAAATTACCAACCACTACGGGCGGGGAATAAACTGGTTCTGCGAATTAAGGAGTCTGAACAGTATTCGCGTAGACTCACTTAGCCCATTGGTTTGACTATCTGGCCTTAGGTGAGCGAGGAACGAACAGCCAAGATAACAAGTTCAACATAAGTTCGTGGAGGTTGTGCCTGATATCCAAATTTTTGGTCAGAATCGACCTCACGGGATACGCAGATGTAACCGCCGCCACCACTGGAGTTTTCTTGAATCCGCTTTTATTCAAAATCGTGTGAATCACGAATAATGCAAAATATTCCCACTTCATTGATCAAATCAATGACATTGATTGTGTTCTAGGCGTCAAATGAAACAGATACAGATTTACAGTTTAACCAATAGCACAGATGGTTAGCCAAGTGAAGACGAGAAACGTAGTGCACGAAAGTTGGACAATACAAAGTAATTAGTTCAGTTAACAAGTAAATGGTTAACTAACATTGTCCGTTGGCTAAGACAGTCGTAACACAAGCATCTACCGCTTTGGCACACACCATCTGTTCATCATCAGTGGTGTAATGTATCGTCAGATTGATGAAGTGACCAAGGGATCTACTTTGGGGTCCCTGCTATCTGATATTTATGGCAAAATTGGCCCACTTAGAACGCATATCGGCAAGGCCGAAATGTATGTACGTTACGTTGGTAATACCTTCGTACTTCGTAGTTGGCGGCACAATTATTGCTTTTGATGACGCGCATGAGAATCCCGACTTCGCTTGCGAACATGCGTCCCCCAACCGACTGACTTTTCTAGATGTACACGTTGGCCATAACTCTGACGGAATTCCCAGCAGAAAGCATAGATGGACTGGGTAATACACGAATTTCCTCAGTGCAGTGCCATTACAGTATAAGAAAAGTTTAGTCCGATCTTTCGCCCCCAGTGCGCGCAATAGTTGTCCACCGGATACTGTCAACGAAGAATTGTAGACCCAGCTCCACTGTGAGAGAAAATTGCCATCCCGACAAATTTATCTCGAAGCATCAGAGGCAAGTCACCCAAAAGCGTGACTCTTAAAAAATCTATGCATGCACCTATCATATAAGGGCAATTCTGCCGCTGATACCCTATCCCGACGCTTGAAGTTTGCTATCAAGAAAACATTTTCGCGGTCCGCTTGAGAATTGTATACTACAACAAGCTATTGCTTGGGAAACCTTTGAAGGATGGATTGCCCTTGTTGACCCGTACAATACGTACTGGTGCTTCTGTGGTGCACAATACTTGGGTCGTTTTACGAGACGTCTATCTGGTAGGATTCAAGAGCACATCCCCGCAAGGTTCTACTATGGGTGAAATGAGATTCTGAAACAGCCCTATTATGCCACAGTTTCTGGAATAATGGTGATTTAAGAGGGCAAAAAAGCGATTGCTTGACAAGTCCCATAGGATTATGATACAGAAGGTTAAATATAACTGACATGGAAAATGGGAGAAGTTTGGGTTTTATGTGACATTAGATTTTTCGCATGAACACTGATGTAGGTTTACTCACTGCAATGTTACCGAAAAGCCTGGAGAGCACATGGCTTCATTTGAGTTATTTCGTCCACTGAGTGAAACGGACTATATCACGTAATGCGATTGGAGTGGTGTGTCGTCAACGCTTTGTATGAAAAGCGTTAATGTTGGGACCAAAATGACGTGAGTTGAAAGGGCGTTCCATGTTCTGGAAATGTTTTGTCAACTGCAATGTGTGTCTAATTTGAACTTTGGCCTCGCAGGTTCGTACTGGGGGTAGTTGCGACAGGTGTGATTTAGGTTTGTCAGTATTAGGTAAATGGTGATGATGTTTCCTCGCTGACGCCGACATTCACTGCTGTATACTCTGAGGACTTACAGTCTGTGTTGGTAGAGGACGTGGAACAAACCACTAACGAATTCGGTCGCTCTAGATTTTGGAGCTTTAAGCGCATCAATATCGTGTTTGCGCCAGGCTTGGATCGCGTACTTCATGTGGGCGTTTTCTGCATTTATGGAAAGATAGGTGGCTCGAAATTCGAAAGCCATCCATATGAGTCCAAGGTGCTGACTGGCTCTTTTGGGCTTGTTTTGAACAGCCAGGATAATTCCGAACGATTAGTCCTAGATCATTTACATGGGAAGCACGTTGCAACTGCAGGCTCCCAAGTCAATATTCATGAATATACAAGGTGTAGTCTCACGATTTTGCATTTCGCCAAGTTAAACTAAAGCCGGTTTTCGCATGCACATGTATAGGCCCTGTCGAGATCTCTCTGCAGTGCCGCGTGACCGCCCTCTGCGTTGATGTCATGCAAGAGCTTGACATCATCTGCAAATATTAAGAAGTCCGACTGGAGCACAGTGGCAAGATACTTTATGAAGACTAGGAATAAACGTGGTCCCAGCACCGATTATTAGGGCACACTATAAATGACTTCAATTCGGTCGGAAATAGAGTGACGGACACTCACATTCAGCTGAGATTAGGTGAGGAAGTTGCTTACCCACGTCGGCGCAAGGTCACTGATTCCATACTTTTGAAGCTTGTGAAGGAGAATGCGGTAGTCCAAGTGGTTCAACGTTTTAGAGAAGTCCAAGCAGACGACACTGATTACCACTCTGGCATCGGCTGATTCCGCCCAGCTTGCTAAGGCTAGCAGCAAGTTTGTGGTGCAGACCGAAATCGGAGGAATCCATGTTGTTGTGACACTATAAAGCTGTTACTTTCAAGGTATCCCTTGAGCGCCTCTGCGATAATACTTTCCATTACTATGGGTAGCACCAATAAATTCGAGGGTTACGCGCAATCCCCACTCTTGCAAGTAATGGTGACTATTCCATGTTTCCACATGGTCGGAACCTGCATTTCTTCAAGGCAACGTTAAAAATACCGAGCTAACGGTTCGTCGAGGTTCATAACTACTGCCCTTAATGCATTTGGTCTTATATCGTCCACGCTAGGAGAGCTGTGCACGCGCAAGGGTACTAGTCTTTTCACATTTACTGTCGTGAACGAGATGTGACTTAATCCTGGGGGAAGTAGGAGCTGTGTCAAAAGCGGGTGAAATGGCGATTCACTCGGGAAAGTGCAAAGTGTGTTGGCGAAACGCATTTTCTGCCTCTTGTGTAGATATTGCCGGACCATCTGCTGCACGTAAATTTGCAACCTGCCTGTACAGCATTCGTGGTTTTGTTGAGTTATGTAGGTACGCCAGGCCTGCACACTTAGATAGGTTTTACAAGTGAGTCAGGTCAAATCCCTTATGATCATGCAGTTTCGAGTCCGACTCCTCAGGAAGGACTTGGCTTGCTTCGGATGAAAGACTGGCTTACGACACATTTGCCACTACCCCGATGAACTGGGTGATTAACTCCCTCCAGGCGATAGAGGCTAGGAAGGACCAGTTGATTTTTTGAATGAGGTTAGACAGGGTGTCGGAATGGTTGACCTCGTGGGTTCCCTCATTGTTTCCACGGATGTGTTCTGCGTAGCATATATAACGGAAACAGAAACGTCGCATGACCGCTACGGCCAGGCGATGCACACATGGCTACGGTACCGACGATTAGTTCCTTGTTGGTGAGCACAAAGTCTAAGATGGTTCATCACTCGTTCTGAGTCGCATGATAGAGGTGACATGGTTGTATAGTGGCACATCGGCGATTACTTCTTGCAAGTCAGCTTGAATTTTTTACTGGGAGAAGCAGGCACTTCGATTGCGTGCAAGTTGAATCCCCCCACCAGAAAGACGTGACTATATAGCCATGCCAGAACTCATTGCACGGCAGAAACTAGATTGTAATCCATTTGCAGGGTGGATATTGGAGGGCAGTAACTTAATGCTAGTAAACACCACCACGTCTCAGGTGTAGGTGGCGTCAGGCAGAGTCGACAACGCGTTTCCAGATTGTCGATAATATCAATATGCAGGGAGGATCTGTAGTACAAGATAACGCCACATCCTCTGCTGAGTGGATTACTTCGTAGGGGAATCATGAAGCGTAGAGCCATCTCAGTATGACTTCAAAGTCAGATACTCATTGTCTGAGCGCTTTACGCAAGGCTTCCGCAAGCAGCTCCTGTTCATTGCCGAGGCTATGAACATCTGCCATTTGATGCAGGAATTGTGTGCAAAAACGATACGTACTTCTATTATTACTACTTTGACCAAAGAACAGTTTTACCTAACCGTCTACTTGTCATCTGAGCTAATCAATTTCTATTGTCGAGCTCTTATATACTACTTTTTGCACTTGGCTTGCCATCTACAGCCTAGCCCTAAGCTATCGACTTGATATTGAAACAACTCAGAAATCAATTTCCCAACTTGATCCAATGCTAACAACACATACTACTTGTTGTACTCATGAGTAGGGGATTTTGATGTAATTATGTGAGGTCCATCGCAGCCAGTTTCCAAATCAGATAGTCGTCCACATGCCCGGAAAAGCACTAAACTGCAGTTTCAGCCTGCTGGGCATCGTCAGTAGTGCGCATCCATCGGATCCGTCAGGATTCGAACCCATGACCACCAGCGGCTTGAACCGCCAGTCAGCAGCTTATGCCACTGGGCCACGGGAGACAGCTTCGGACCGTCATGATTTACAAGCTAACTGCGATATAGCGCGTCTTATCCTCAACTGCCATGCAAGTTACGAACGTTGCAGAGGACAGGGTTGGCCCCGAAAGACGCGACGTCCACTAACAGTAGCCATGTACGACATAGCATTTTAGAAACTGGCGGTTCAAGCC